TTTAAAAGCTGTCCTCGCTCAGTGAAGCGCGTGCCTTGTTTGTGCTGCAGTTCTCACCTCTTTGTACTTCCTGTTCAAGGCTTTGTCTTCAAGTATTTGCAAGGTACGGATGTATTCGGGGGGTAAGAGGTGATTGAAGGAACACAGACCTTGGCCAAGTTTGACGTATATTCCTCCATTCTTTATGGCTCCTTCCACCATGCACTCTGCTGCCCTCTGGTGGCACGCTGACATCTCAGTATGGTAGGATGGGCTGTTCTAGCAGGGGAGGACGACAGTACTGATTGGCCTATTGACATTAACACCATTAGCAGCAGGAACAACAATGATTGTCTAAACACAGCTCATGGTTCAGCCTTTTTTTTTTTTTTTTTTTACATTTGTTTTGGCATGTGTTATCTAAAAGTGTATACTGATGTGGAGAGAATATATGACCAAGGTACATATTAACAGTTTGTTTTGTTGACACAGACAACCAGAAGAAACAGGTCTCTTTTTTTTTTTTTTGTCTGTGGCTAAAAAAACAGCATGTGTCAGAAAGAAACATGGAGTTGTCCCCCACCCTGCTGGTGCTGATATCTCTCAGAGAGGGTGAGCTTATCTCTCTCTTTTTGTCAGAATCACCCATTTGCAGAAAGCGGCGATAAACAATTTAGTAATTTAATCTTCATTAAATCTAATTTGCTTCGTGTAACAGATTCTCCTCAAACTGTGAGAATCCAGAAGCTTTTATGTCACGTCCTCGCTTCTCAATAATCACGACTTATTGCAATTACATGATGGAACTTACCTCATCTAGACCATGAAGAGCCACGTTGGCAGTCCACCAGTAATCCACAGAGATGAAGATCCCCACAGAGAGAGATCTAAGGACACACAGGGAAGACGTTGCTGTTACTTTATAAGCTTTGGAATTGACATGAACAGGCACAATCACAAATGATCGATATAAAAGCGCTGTGCCCAAGATCAGTTCCACCAAGAGAGGTCAGCAAATCAGTGTGTGAATGTGTTAGGTGTGACCTGCGGTGTAAAAGCGCTTTGAGTTGTCAGGAGACGAGAAAAGTGATTTACAAGCTCAAGTCCATTTACCACAAATCAAGTGATGCAAATATTAAATCAATCACCTAGGTTATACCCAAAGTATGAATCTAAACATTTTTTGTGCCTCCGTGAAGTGACTTTGTTGAGCTTTAAAATCAGATGACCCAGTTTACTGGACACAGACGAACAGTTTCCTCTTATTGTAGATACCTTATTTAAAGTGTGCAATTCTGCGTATCAATCTACAAAGTTTCTTAACGGTATTGAGGGAAAATAGGGGAAAAGGGCAAGCCAATAAGTGACCTTGGACTAGTAGCTCAGGGTGGCTAATGCTCGCTAATGAGGATAACTGTCACACACTGAAGTTCCCTCAAAAGGTCCCTAGTTCCGGGGGAGAGTTCTTGAGGTTGTAAAGGGGCAAAACGTCACCTGCTCAGTTGATTCCTCTTTTCTGAAAAACCAATTGTGTGAGCACAACACCTGAATGAATACAGTAAGGTACATCTATTGACAAATACAAACCTGAAGAAGCGGCCAAATCCTTCGATCACAATCTGCATCCTCCTTCTGGCTCTTTGATCCGACGCTGCATAATGGACACCCACTGCCACAGGTACACCGACAGAGACGCCAACAAGTGTCTTCCACAACATCCCTCTGCGCTTACCTTCCCTGGAAGCAAGATTGGAAAAGTCCCATTCATAAACAGAAAGAGAGACATCGCCATGGCGGGAAAATGTCGTCTGCGATTTTTGGCCGGGCTGTTGTTTTTTTGTACCTGAGTGAGCTGAAGGATTGTGTTGTTTGGAGGGAAGAGCCAGGATGTGGACATCTTCTGAGCAGAGCCATGTGACGCAGACACAACCTTATCTGAAGACAACAAAAAGCACAGCATGAGGGGAACCCTGTGTTTTTTACTCTGAAGACTTTTGCAAGAAAAAAAAAAAAAACGTTCCGCTGCTAACCAGAGTTCTGTTAACACATCTTTAGGGACAGCAAGTTAATTGTGGACTGTGCCTCCTTGTGTCTCAGATATTATTTTTACCTGGGGAAGATCGCTGCTGCTTTTGTTTTGTGTCTTTTGAGCGGTATTGACATGTTAAATCTTGGCGCTAGATATAAAGAAAGACTTCTTCTGAGTGGGTTGTGCATGCATTTTTTTCCAACCGAGAAAGTTCTCAGAAAGCTGTTCTCCAGCGAAAGAAAAACATCGGAGAGAGAAAAAAAAAAAACAGTTGGGCTCTAATTGAACGTAATCCAATAGTCTTATTACTTTTCCAAGCAGGACGCGTTGGGTTTTGTTCGGCTGCAACTACTGGATGATTGTTGTCATTATTGACTTCAAGCTTGATTCACAACACAGGCCCAGATAGTGAGTTGTGATGTGCAAGCTTGTATTTATGTTTGTATATGCTTGCCGGGAAAGAAGAAGAAGGTTGTGGGGGGTGGGGGGTGGGGGGGGTCAACATCTAGATCAAGGTCAACATGGTAGGCAGGGGTACTTAGTTGTTTTTGTTCCCTGTCTGCAACTGAGGGACAAAATGTCTCAAGTGCTGACAAATTGATGTACAGATAGCAGTAATGTCAGGGACCTTAGCACAGAAATATCAAACAAACTCTGTCACTCACACACAGAACAAGCCTGAAAAAAGCATCTCACGACCTAAATACATTTAACAAATGTAACTGAGTTAGATAGTTAGATCTGATCAGCACCTGGTATTGTGATAGGAAGAAATTCATTCTGCTCTCATCTGTTAAACTCAAACTACAGTAACAACATATATTAAGTAAGTTGACAACCAACCTGGACTTCAAATGACACATTGCAACACTTACGTATCTAATGTGTGTTTAAAAGCATAAATAAAAACACAGCTTTAAGTCTTTAACAGTTCTCTTCTCTCATTGCTCTCCGTTGCTAACGTGACAGGGTAGTTACAGTGAACGCTAACCTGGCTAGCTGTTGGTCAACCGGCTAACTTCAGCTGTCACAACTAAGGTTGCCAAAACAAGACAGAAAACGTTCAAAGATGTCGTTTATTTACCACTCTGTTGGTCTCTCCTTGCATTGTGTCGCCGGTGAAAAATAGCTCTGCTCAAAGGGATGTGTGAGGTAAATACCAGGGTGTCTTTCTCAATGTGATCGACTACAAGAACCACCTCTTTCGGAAACGGGGCGGTCGGACAAAAACGGAACAAGAGGTTACATGCCCATTGACTTCCGTTTTCGCTTACATCTAGTCCACTAAATTAAATACATAAAGTGTATAAAGTCTATAAAGTGTATGATTTTACTCTAGTCGATCAATCGACAGTGTGGAACCTGGTGTGAGCAAACGTGAAAATTACAATTAACAAGTTTTCGAATTTTAATTATTATTATTATTATTATTTATTTTTTATTTGTATTCTTCTTCTTCTTCTTCTTCTTCTTCTTCTTCTTCTTCTTCTTCTTCTTCTTCTTCTTATTATTATTATCATTATTATCATTACCATTATTATTATTATTATTATTATTATTATTATCATCATCATTATCATTATTATCATTATTATTATTATCATTATTATCATTATTATTATTATCATCATCATTATCATTATTATTACTATTATTATTATTATTATTATTATTATTATCATCATCATTATCATTATTATCATTATTATCATTATTATCATTATTATTATTATCATTATTATCATTATTATTATTATCATCATCATTATCATTATTATTACTATTATTATTATTATTATTATTATTATTATCATCATTATTATTATTATCATTATTATTATTATTATTATTATCATTATCATTATCATTATTATTATTACTATTATTATTGTTATCATTATTATTATTATTATTATTATTATTATCATCATTATTATTATCATTATATTATCATTATCATTATTATTATTATTATTATTATTATCATTATTATTATTATTATTATTATCATCATTATTATTATTATCATCATTATCATTATTATTATTATTATTATTATTATTATCATCATTATTATTATCATTATTATTTATAATGTAACATTAATAATAATATTATTAATGTTATTTTAATGTTTAAGAGCGGATTGCCTGTTCAAATGGTCCGAATACAACTCTGCTCGTGTTAAAAATTGTGACATTTGGTTTAAACAACATCTCAGTGAGTTGTTCGACATGTGCATTTTCCTTTTTTATTTATTCACATGCTATTAATGTGAAGTAAGTCGCAAAAAGTGTTAGCTTATCATTAGGATGTGATTGTGATTTAAAATGCACGCTCTAAACTAGAGGCGTAATATTTCCCAGTAGTAAATGATGCATCATATTGCAATTAAGCCATCAGACTGTGTCACATGAGAGATTAGTGCAGTATTATTTCTGCGTTACATCATATTACATCACGTAGGTCTCGTGGGGACCAAGGTTCCCATCTCAAGCTTTATGGAAAGTTTTGGCAGACAAACACAATAACAAAAACAGGAATGGTAGCTTGAATGGATTAGTTATTATAGTCACACTTTGACCAAATCAAAAAGTAAAAAGAAATCGCTTGTCGTAAGAAGTGCATGGTCCACATTTGGGTTCACATTGTTGACAATTTGCCAAAGTCAAGTTAGCCGGATTCTGAGGTAAAGAAACCAAAAACGCGGAATAACCTTCAAAATAAAGGTTGTTAAAGTGATCACACACACACCATACAGTCCATGATACACACGCCAAAAGTTATTTTTTTTAGCGTATAGGAAAACAACAAGGCGTATAACTGAATTATGTTTCGCAACCAAACGGGTGTTGATAAAGTACTTCAGTAAACCATGTGATCGTAGTATTTCAGTATGCGTTTTATTTTGAAACGTCAGAAATAGTTGTCATCTTGCTGGCCGAGTTGTCTACCGGAAGCTGTAGTGACTCGTTGTCGCTGCAGTATTGCGCTTTCCTGTTTACGGGCGGGAAGAGCGAACCAGGTCTGACTGCTGGAGCTTCTGTGATCAAATTGACAGCAACATTTTGTTTGAATTTCCTTTTTTTAGCTAATGATTTACTCGTTTTAATGATACAAAGGACATTGCGAGATTTAGTGCAAAGGCAATAAAAGCGGACCATTGCTTAAAACAAGAGGGAATTTTTTGAGTTGTGCAGGACCAGATGGAGGATCCTCCTGCAGATTCTGGCGGTGGTGCAGCAGCAGCGGAGGGCCCCGTGGTGCAGGTGGCAGATATCCGCTGGCCGACCGGGGCTCTCCCTCTCCGGCTTCTCGAGTGGAAAGTCAAACCCGGGGCTCTTGTGAACGTGGACTCTGTGCTTGCACTGTGCGCCCCCATACCTCATGAAAGGGGGGCAGAGGCACCGAGGCTGCCAGAGAAGAAGGTGAAATCGGACCGTGCAGGAGTAATTAAGGAGCTATGCTGTCAACTTGGCCAAGTCATACACCCCGGGTGAGTCTCTTTGCTACCTGTACGGCTGCTTAGTAAAACTGCAGGACACATACTAGCTGTGGCTTCTGCCTAGCGTCGCTTGTTACTGACATCTCCCTCACTGCAGTTTTAGCTAGCTATCAAGCTAACATTGCTATGTGTTTAGGTAGGTTAACGTTAGCTTGTTTGCTAGCCGTACTCAAACCAGTGCTCGCATCACTCGCTCGATATCAAGTTAGTCAAAACAAAACAAGGACACTTTGGGCCAAAACATTCAAAATAAAAGCTGTATTAATCTGGATACGCTTGTATTGTCGAAATTAATTATTCAGCATAATCCAAAATCAGAGCAGAGTGTTGCTAGCATCGGATGTTTTTGTTTCTTAATCTGTTCCGCTGTTATCTCGACATCGTGGTTACGAGCTATAACTTGGGAGAGCTTTTATTTTGAAGGCGAACTCCCCGTGAAGCGGCGCCTTGTTTTGTATGTCTTGAAGTGTCTCCTAAAGTCGCGTGCAACGATGTGTACAAGCTGGGAAAGTGTCAGATAGATGTTTGAAATTTGCTGTTTTGTCAGAGCTGGGTATAACTTAAAACGTGTACAGTGTGTCAAAATGTACTGCTTTTTAAAACTGTGGGACTTCTGCTCACATTGTGCTTTTTACGACATATTAAGATTACGACATTACAGTAAATGCAAACATTTTGACTGGATTTACAACTTGTTCTTGAGGTAATTACTAGAGCTGTCAGACGAGAACAGTCTTTATTGTGATTAATCACATTTTTATTGCATGTTTGTAATTCCATTATTTCAGAATGTTAAAAAAAATGGAGTCTTAAACTGAGAATACTTTACTTTTACCCTGGCACTAAATAGCCTTTGATGAGTTAGTGATAAAAAAAACAACAACAACAGAATAATGTATCTATTTAAGACCTAATGAATAATGATGAACTAGTAAATACTGACAGCTCTGGTAATCACCCAGCATTTGCCATTTACTCAAAGCATCCTGTTGATGAGTTTTGAGGATAATATGGAGACCGAAGGCCGAAACATTGACCTGATGTTCAACACTATTCAGTAATACTCATTTATTAAATGAATCTGCCTGCCTCATCCGAGTAAATAAAGTATTTACCCCTAACATTCTCATTTCTTTTTTTTTTCCAGAGGTGTAATCGTCAGAATAGAGGAATGCAGCCATCCAGTGGTGATGAAGGGTTTATGTGCTGAATGTGGCCAGGACCTGACTCAGTAAGGACATACAAATGCGATCCTTTACACCGTAAAGGACAAGTGCATGTTTTCCTTCCTCCTCTGTCTGTTCTTTTAATGACGTGCTGGGCCAGTTTTGCTCACGCTGTAACCCTCCCAGTACACTGAGCTGAACAAACCATCCAGAGGAATGTAGGCGTTCATGCTGACAATATCGCACAGTATTATGATAAGTTCTAAAATGATTGATAAGAAAGGCCCAGTATTGTGTGTTTAAAAACCTACTCAATCCAAAGTAAATATTTATGCTTGATTCTGTTTCATTTAATACCATCAGGGGGCACCGGAGGTCATAAAAAGAAAGATGAATTCAACTCAGGGCATTCCCTCTTACTGTTGTTAAAAGAACTTTGTTAGTGAAACTTGTTAGGTACTTCATCCCCCTCAGAGTTTGCATGCTGAGGATACATGGTGTTTGTTTACACCTGGTTTACTTTAACTATAGGTATGATTTTCAACTCAAAAATCTGTTCATTGATGAACAAAACAAGGTCAGTCTGAATGAGGCTTTTAGAAAAGCGGTCTTTATTACCATCATACAACTCATAAGCTTTCTTTGACTCGTCCCTACACATGAATCCTTTTTGTTTGAACTATGAACTCTTTTTGACAATTCAACTCAGGAACCAATAAAGGGTTACATTATAACCATCCGTAAAAAAAAAAGTATTTTCCAAAACCTTTCTTTTGAAAACCTTTTCATGAAGTATTGAGTCCGCTAAGATAAGAACAATTTCTGGAAATTCTACCCAATACCTCCATATTCTGAAGTTGCTAACAAGATCCCATCCAAGGTGTTCTACTGAGAACCCTTTAATATTTCAGGTATTTGAAAATTCTTATTCAGGGTTATCATAAAGTAATATTGATTTTTCTTTTGTATATCATATTTTTGAGACAGCTTTTTTTTTTCCTTTTTTTTTTAAATGTACTGCACGTTCAGTACAGCTGCCACGAGCTGGTGCAGGACTTCCTTTTGTTGCTTTTATGTTGCTTTTCTCGGCCGTCAGACTCAGTATTGGACTCATATCCCTCTCCAGTCTTATCTTCGTGCATCCCTAGGAAGAGAATAGGAGTGCCATCCTGAGGACTTAATGGCTCAAAACACAATCTTCCTCCCAAGTGTTTTCTTTCTTTTCACTCCTTATAAAAGCTCACAATAAGAGTCATATGCCAAGCATTATAAATTATATTTAGTAACAAAAGCAAAACAATTTTAAACCGATATTCAAAAGACTAATGTCACTCAGCTAATCCATTTAGTCTCTATGGTCCCTGAACAGTGAATAAACCTACATGTACAACTATGTATTACAAGTTAGAGTGGTAGAGATAGCAACATATCAGAATGTAATTTTTATTAATTTGAAAATCCCTTTTCAAACATGGGTGAACACTTGAATCATTTCTGGTGTAAATTCTTGCTTTTAACAACCCTGAAAAAAAAAAACATTCCTGGTCAAAAGGTTCTTGTATAAATGCTTCTTAATGCTGCTTGAAGTCTTCACAAACAAAAAGTTCTTGGTAGGACCTCGTTGATTTGCCAATAACCGGGCAAAATCATTTATCTTCTGTGTGGTTAGACATATTTTCTGATAAACCAGTAACCTCTACTCGACTGACACGTTATGTAAGAGGGTGTAATAGACACACAAACTACAAAATCTATGACTCTCTTTATTTTCTCTCCCTCTCAGGCTGCAGAGCACCAATGGAAAACAGCAAACTCCCATCTCCACAGCAACAGTCTCCATGGTGCACAGTGTCCCAGAGCTCATGGTCAGCTCAGAGGTGAGTCATATGATGGAGATACCTGGAAGACTGGGCTAGTAGGGCAGCTGCACTTCACAATATAGGATCTCTGTGTGTACTTGTGTTTTTCCTCTCTGAAGCACAGTGCCTCAGATCATCATCTGAGGACGAGGTGGTGGTGTCCTAACCATATTTTAACTAGCTTGTGTTATATTTGAAGATTAGGCTTGTATATATTTTAATTTTGCTTTATTATCTAACTTATTTTAGTTTGTGAATAACGACTTTATCTACCCACCTTCACTCCCGTCCTTTTCTATTTATACATCACACACACACACACACACACACACACACACACACACACACACACACACACACACACACACACACACACACACACACACACACACACCACACATACCTGCTCCTCTCCTCTCTGCTTCCTCCATTTCATTTCTCACACAAAGCAGCCGGCTTGTTCCACCTTGCCTCATTCCTCAGCTTTGTTAATTGTGTGTTTTTTGACATTATTCATCAGTAGTCTGTTAGAGACGCTAAGGTTCATTACTTGTGTTTTGTAATGTTGCACTCGATATTCCGCTGTCACATCAGGAGACCTGCGCTTATTTATGATGCTGCATTTGAAACGCAATCACAGTAGCTGGACAATGTTATTAAAACAACAACATGAGAAGCTTCAGTTATAAAATGAGACGTAGCGCCACAATCGTTGCACTTATGGGAGGGATGTGTTGTTCAGCAGACTTCTCACTCTCTCTTTCTCTCTCACTCTCGCTCTCTCTCTCTCTCTCTTCTCTCTTTCTTTCTCTCTCTTTCTGTGATTTATGAAAAAAAGAATGTTTAAGTTTATTTTGGGGCTTTTTATTGAGAGATAGGACAGTGAATAGGGGAAAATCTACATTCCTTTTCCCCATGCCTGACTCCAATGCTGAAATGTCAACTCTATTCTTGAAAATTAAATTATTCTCACATTGATAAATAAATAAAAAAATCTTCCTCCAGATTGATTTTCCTTATCCCTATCTCGAATAGTGTGTCATACAAAAACATTCAAAATAGTGGCTGCTCCTCTACAATACAGAGAAAGAAAACTTCAAATCATGTGATGAACTGTGTAATAAAAATGTCAATAAATATGATTTATTCATGAACTAAGTGTGAGTGGTGGCCCCTTGATGTTTTCTTATAGTCCTCTCATTATTTACATTCACAGCAAGCGGAACAGCTGGGCAGAGAAGACCAGCAGAGACTCCATCGGAACAAGAAGCTGGTCCTGATGGTGGATCTAGACCAGACACTTATCCACACGACTGAACAGCACTGCCAGCGTATGTCCAACAAGGTATCATTCCATTTGATCACTATTTCAAACCGTTATAGAAAGTCACATGTAAATGTTCTCAGATGAATTGAACAGCTGTTTGTTTTTCTTCACTTTATCCACATCTTAAATGAAACTCGGATTTCATGTTTAAAGGATAAACGCTTGACCCCGAGCTGCACAGATCTGAGGCCTTGAATAAAAACGTGTTGCCTCATTATGCATGGTAATGAAACAGCCTGTCTGAAAGGAACCTTAAAGGCGTCTTGTGGAGTTTTCTTGTAATAGAACATTTATTTCCAAGCCTTAACAAACTTGTTGAATGCATACCTCTCTTCTGAGAACATTTTTGAGCACTAAAGGAACATTTTAAACGGTCCATTTTGTACATCTGTTTGTATCCCTGACTCCGTCCCTACAGAGTCAGCTCTCTTTTTTTTTTTCACTGCCTTTGCTGCTTTATTGTGATATTTACGAATGCTTCACAGTCAATGACGGGATGACATTTGAAACAGCTTAATGCTGTCCATTTGTAGAATTAATGGTGTCCTATTAAATACTCTTGTTATTCCCCCCAGGGCATTTTCCACTTTCAGCTGGGGCGAGGAGAGCCAATGCTCCACACACGACTACGCCCACACTGCAAGGAATTCTTAGAGAAAATTGCCAAACTCTACGAGTTACACGTCTTCACATTTGGGAGTCGCCTTTACGCTCACACCATTGCTGGTAATTGACTTGTTGTTTTACATGTCACTGAACTTTTCTCTCATTAGACACAATTTAGATGAATCCATATAGTTTGATTTTTAAAATGCAATAGAATACTTAAAATAAGTTTTGACAGTTTAGAAAAATGTCTTGGTGTCCTACTTGTAATGCCTGGTTTTGTCCACAAGAGGGAAGTGTCTGCTAATGTTTTTTGGCTGGTATGCATCTCGCGTGTTAAAGGTGTCATTTGAACGCAGTAATGGGGTTTAATTGTAGAATACGTGTAAAACCATTTCATGTTTTGCATTAAACATTTTGGAAGGTACCCAGTCCTCCCATTACCAGCCTCGTTTTAGCATCGTTTGTCGGGTAACTGATTAGAGTCAGAGTCAGTTCATGATTCAAGGTAGTGTAGGAAGTGTTTTTATGCGTTTATATTTGGCCTTGTATAATATATGCTGCAATCTGTCATTACTGTATATAATTGAAGCAGCACCTTTCTCAGTACTGTTCTGCCTCCATAAGATGTTTAATGCATTTTGAATCTGATTTTGTTACGACTGCCCAATGCCTTGTGGAGGTCTGTATGTTTTAGAGAAGGGCCTGCCTCAGGTTTCATAAAAAGAAAATTTTCTGTGGCATTATAAGAAACCCTGAGATAGTTTTCTGATTCTGAGTTAATACCAAAAAAAAAAAAGTAAATTATTTTAAATTCCAGGGGTTTAAGATTTCAGATCAAGCTGGATTGCAATAAAAAAATAATCTGAATTGTGTTTCTATTTTCCTTTTGTTAGGTTTTCTGGACCCTGAAAAGAAGCTTTTCTCTCATCGCATCCTTTCTAGAGATGAATGCATTGATCCTTTCTCCAAGACGGGAAATCTGAGGTGGGAATTGGCTTCTTTGATAGGTGTCAGCTACATGAGTCGTGTTCAGTTAGGTCTGTGATGCACCTGTCCTCTCTATGGATAATATTGAGCTCTTTTTAGTTTAAAAAAAAAAAAAAAAAAAAAGAGACAGTTTCCTGTTTTCAGTGCTCTGGACTTTAACTTTTACACTAATGAAACAGATACAAGCTTCATTTTTAATATGTTACACCAGGCAGTAACACAACATCAGTCGTTTCCTATCATAGACTGACGGACAGCTGAACAATAGTTTGCTCCCTTTCAGCCTCTGTTCTAGTCCTGGGTTCATCAAACTGTAGACTAACTGTTTATACCTGCAGTAAATCCAACTAAGTAAGTGATTAATGGTTTGAAATGGTTTGATTTAGTGTTTGCTGATCACAGTACAGCACGGAGGGATTAAAGAATATTCCCCCCGAGCTGGTTGGCACACCGTCTTTTCTCCGGTTGTCTGTGTTTCTTTGACACTGGTAGTGTATCAGTAACAATTCATTTGTGCTGTTCTTCTTCCTTTAGAAACTTCCTCTCTTATCGGGCATTTACATAATTACACGCGCCTCAGTTCTGCTTTTGGTCATGATTTTAACAAATAGTGATGGCCTCGCTTACCCTCCTCTCACAGACTTTAAGCTTGTCCTCCTGTTTTCTGCAGTGCTAAAGTGAAAATGGGAAATGTGACATATGAAGTGTTTATGTTGTACATAGGCAACGATTCGTAAAAATGGGAATGCACCATGAAAACTCAAAATTTAGATATTATAGCTAGCCATCCCCCAGTAGCCAATAAGGGCCTCAGGTTTGTGAAATGTTGATCGACTATTTTCTGGCACAACAGGGGAAAAGTAGAAAGTTAAGTTACACTTAACTGATATAGTCATAACCGCAACCCCATTTTTCCCAATGATTAGACTCATTTTTCTTTTTTACAAGGGAACGATGGGACCATTTTATTTTAGTTCCTTTGTTTTTGTACACACAGTACACAGCAGAAACAGTAAAGCTCTTACAGTATGACACTTATGAATGGTTAGCAGTAGCATTTTCTTGGTAAAACAAAAGATTGACAAAAGTGTAGGATAATGAAGAGCCTTTTATTTTGATTTATAGCAGAACATAGCATCTGTCACTACTTCACTTCAGTCAAATAGAAAACAAATAATGGCTTCAGCTGCATTTCTCAGTAAAAGTTTGCGCATCGGTCAAATCTCTGTCGTTTTACGAGTGTCTTGCGCACCGTTTTCCTGACAGGAATCTTTTCCCCTGCGGAGACTCAATGGTCTGCATAATCGACGACCGGGAGGATGTGTGGAAGTTTGCACCCAACCTCATCACTGTGAAGAAATACATTTACTTCCAGGGTACGGGGGACATCAACGCTCCCCCTGGATCCCGGGAAGCTCAGACGGCAAAGAAAGGTACAGTGCCCACACATCTTTGATAGCACTGCTCCAAGTTGAGCCAATACTAAGTGGACAACCGAGGATACGCTGTCCACTGATTCATTTTCGGTTCTGTGAGCATATCCCTGAGAGGCAGTTTTTTGCTGCAGTTTCTGACAAGCAAGTCAGACCAGTTGAGTCACTGATCCTCGGCTGCCCTTCTGAGTCCAGAGTGCTTTCCGAATGTTACATGGTCCGTTACTTGTTTTTTAAATAGTATCCCTTTCATTTCATAGAAATTGCACCTTACATGTTTCTAACTTATCTAACCAATATCAACTCGTTGTTAATGTCAACTTCCGAAGAGGGTAAAAGGCCAAGAATGGTTCAAAATGTTTTCGACGTTCATACTCACTTGAAAAGTCATTCTGACCCTCACTCAGCTACTTAACTGTTGAAGTTTATATAACTTATGTATATAGAGATGTATTCATTTGAAGCCAGCACTGTTCACACTGTTATAACTGTTATTGTAGATGATGGTAACAGTGGGTGTCTGTGGCTCAGTTGGTAGAGTCGGCCGTCTCTCTACCGGAAGGCCGAGGGTTCGATCCCCCCCGCTCCTGTCCGATGTGACCTTAGGAAAGACACTTAACCCTGAATTGCTCCCGCTGCTTCGTCAGTGGAGTATGAATGTGTATGAATGGGATTAGTTACGTCTGATGATCTTTAAGGATTTTGATACTTTCACCTCATATAACTTGTAAAGGGGATCTTCTCAAAACACAGATTTATCCCCTGCATTATCATCATTACACCAAACAAGCTGCTTGAGCCAGCTAATGTGTCTCCCCAGGGTGCTTTAGCAGGGCCCCCCCCCTCCCCATTGACACCCACACTCAGGCTGTCACATCAATTAGTGATAATTCCTGATTGTACTGATCCCATGTTACAACAGCTGCCAGGCTCAGCAGTAGGCTTTATTGTTGATACAAAGGAGAGTTTTTTTCTTATGTGGATAAAACAAAGGCTACAATTAGCCTCAAGCACATTTCTAACAAATATAAGTGCAGACACATTCACGTATGAAGCAGATGTTAAAGTATGCTGTTTTCTAGGCATGTTCAGACATTTTGAAGTAAAGGACGTGGTTAAGAAATGGATACAGGAGGTTCATGTTTAATCAAGAATGCTAGAATTAGAACAAAAATGTGATGCCCTCTAATTTAGGAGGCATCATTTATCAACGCAGCGTTACAGAGATCCACACAAACTGGCCTGCTTTAAACATATTTATTTATTTTAAGACATCAGGCTGAAGAAAAAGTGATAAACATGTAACATGGAGACTGTGCAAGGAAGGAAGTTAAAGATCAACAGAGTGCGGTGAAAGGCCCTCAATTCTTCACAGAAATGGAGTGATTTCTAGACGACTGTTTTATTTCTATACTCTATGTGGCAGCACGATGGTGTGACGGTGAAATAGCAGCTGGAGAAGGAGGACAAGCTTGCAAACTTTCTCAATGCCACACAAAGTTTAATAATCACAGCCTTTTGATCAGGTCGACACTAGAGATGCACCGATCCACTTTTTTCCCATTTCCGATCCGATTCAGATACACGTGTACCGGTTCTGATACTTATTCAGATTCATATGTTTTTGTAATAACTAATATTTTTATTGTTGTTGTATTGGCTACACAAAGAAAGTTGTTGTACACCATTTCTTATTCATAGAGCAAAAAATATATTTATTTGAATTGCATAAAAATCAAAAACCATTCCAAATAACTGAGTTTGAACTTTGAGCTGGCTTCACATACAAAGAGGAAGCAGCAACAACTGTCAGGTTTTCAAGTTGAATCTTTAAAACTGTGTAAGATTTATGCTTTTGATCATATAGAAGAAGCTGTTTCATCTCGTCTGCATGTCTCGATGGAGACAATTTGTGGACACTTCTTACAGTTCAGTCTGAACGTCTTCAAAGTGAGACTGTACAAGCTGAGAATGTTTAAAGTGCCCAACATTCTTTCTTGATTGCTTACATGGATCGGCGCAAAAAGTAAATATCGGACCCAATAAGCGATATTAGGATCTGTCCCATCTCTATTTGACACGTTGTGAACCTCTTGTGACATAAAGTAAGATTGTTTCCATAAACAACAATGGCAGCACATTTTGCTTGTGATTATCATTATAACACTCCGAGGAAACAATCACGCAGAGACAGTCGTCAGACTTCTTGATATTGAAATGTTACAAACCCTGTAGGTCTTAAAAAAATACCTTTTGTGTTTGTGAATGCACCCAACACTGTTGGAAAGTTTGGCCCACACTCTAAGTTGCTGCATTTGTGTTGTGAAGGCTGTTGTCTACTGGCCTGTGACTGCTCTAGCGTGACCTGCCTCCTCACATTATTGAGGTTTTCTTCCTATCCATGCAGTATTTTGGCTCCTAATGGTACAGTTCACTTCTTGGAAGAAGTAAACTTCTAATCATAATTGCTTACAAGTAATCACTTATGATCAAGTTGGTTTCACACTCATACAGTCACTTGCAATAGAGTGACTTGGCATACCCAGAAGAATCTAATTTCCTTTAGGCAAAAGATTTGCAGCCAAAGCAGCTCTTTCTGACTTCAATTCTGGGCAGTGTGTTCTACCATAAAGGTTTAGGTAGTTTATGGCTAGTTGGTTCATTATCACAAGGCCACAGGCCCTCCATTATTTATAGAACATGGTGAAAAGGGCCTTAACTGTTACTGACGCTGTATGCTCTCAAATTGTGCAGTAAAATTCAGAGCACACTCTGTATTGTTAAATGCATTGCATAAGTCATGATAGACCATTTAAAACACAGCTTTTTGTGAAATCTGGGTCCTTATTTTCCTGAAATATTATAGGATTTTGGAGTTTTTAATATCGGTGTTATATTATCGATACAATCATAGACGTTGGAGATTTTAAGTTTGTGACTGTGAAGCCCCAAAGCCCTGTTTGTTTGTCTCTGTGTGCCATCCTGTGATTGACGATTAACCTGTCAGGCATTTACCCCACCTCTCGGCTAATGACTTCTGAGATTGCTACAGCCCAACCCCCCCCCCACACCCACACCCATTACCCATCACCCATCACCATAACATGTGCAGTACTTTGGAGTTGATCATCACTTTATTGTTTTAAGCCAGTAGCAACGCTGCATAAACTCTTGAAACAGCTACTTGAAAGGTGACAGACAACATGCTACTACCATTGAGAGGAGTTCTACATTTATTTTATTTTAGTGACATTACTGAACATAAAAACTCTTAATGCCATTTTTTTCTTTATACTTTATTTGCAGAAACTTTTTTTTGTGATCATTTATTTAATAATTTACTGATTTAATATTTGACGCATTGGTAATTTTGCTGGTGTCAGGGTGTTGATTGGCTACACTGACACCAGAATCCATTCATCTGTAGCCTTTCTCCCAGTTACCTCACCTATTGATTCTGGTGCATATGTCCTTGAATACTTTGCGATCACCTTGTCTTGTTCCAGCAGGAGGCCCGTCAAGTCGATCAGCAGAGAGCGCAGAGCCATCAGGGACACCTGCTGCTGATGAGCTGAGTAATGGCCCCAGGAAAAGGGCAAAAGACCAAAGCGTTTCCGAAAAGGAAGAGTCCACAACACAGTCTTCTCAGGGAGTATCCACAAATGAACGGACACATCCTGCAGGTGTGGTGGAGGATGAATCAGGTAAAGGGTCAGAGACCGAGGCAGAGCCTGGGCTGGGGTCGAGGGACGCTCAGGTGGACGACAGAACAAATGTTAAGGATTTAGATAGCAACAGGACACTGTTGCCACGAGAGGCACAGGACAGTACAAACTCATCTGTACCCAGCCATGAGTCCAATAACTTGGACTTTGACCTTTCCAGTGACAGTGACAATGACTCAATTTCTGACAAGCCTCCCTCGTCAGAGAGTGATGGTGAAATCAAGTCGGCAAAATCCCGACAAGAAGGAGTAACGCAAGAGCCTGGTGATGAGGATGGGGCAAGGGACGGGCACAGTAAAGGTGGCTGTGAGGGAGAAGCCAGTTGTGACACGGCAGAACCGTCAGGAGTTCTTCTTCCTGATCCTGAGCTGGGTAATGGCTGCCCCGATCGGATAGAACCTGAAACGGAATCCCAGAATAGTGAGCAATCTGGTGTCACCATGGGAGAGGAGCTGCTTGACCAGAGCATGGAGGATGAAGAGGAGGAAGAAGAAATTGATATAGACCAGGACGATCACCTGATCTATCTAGAGGAAGTGCTGCAAAGGATCCACGCTGAATACTACGCACGATACCAGGGCTACCTGAAGAAGGAGGCATCTGAAACCCCAGATATCCGCAAGATCGTGCCAGAGCTGAAAAGCAAGACACTGGAAGGCACAATGATAGTGTTCAGCGGCTTGTACCCGACCAACTACCCAATGGAGAGGACGCGGGAATTTTACCATGCCAAAGCACTTGGGGCTAAGATAGGCAAGAACTTGCTTCTTAGCTCCAAAGATCCAAGTCAGACAACGCATCTCATCGCAGCAAGAGCTGGTAAGTACAAATGTCCAACAGGAATACAGCAGCTGCATATTGAATGTGAATTTTACAAGAAATAGTTCATTTCAACCTTTTTAGATAATGACTCCTAGTTGTATGCTGCAGTTCTAGCGAGGTTACAATATAATACGTATAACTGTCTTTGTAGGCATTAGTTCAGGACTCTGTCTTGTAATTCCACTTTAGATAAAGACTACATAGAAAGCAACACGTGTTTTCTGGTGTATATGCTCATGAGAACTTGTTTTTCCAAGGTTTAAAGGGAGTTTCATGGCATCTGGAAACAAACGTCCCATTTAAAGGAGCAATGTGTATCTCCGACACGTTGCGTTTAAAACGGATCATGCAGTCCAAATTCAAAACATCCCCCCCGCCCCCCTCCTCCTTAAAGGCGATGCGCACACATAATGCCATGTCGCGGTCACTGAAGCTTCAGTTTTAACCAGCTCTGTACCGGTCTTGAAACCTTTCTGTGCTCTAACCTCTCTTCATTTTTTGAAAAGCATTGCCAAAATTTATTCTAGTTTGAGCACGTTTCTGGTGTTGGAGTTTATTAGAAAAATGCAGAGGCTTTTTTTTTTTAGGTTGGGTAAAATCATTTATCTGACCCAGTTCCATTGCCTGCCTCCATCGCTGCAACACCTGTTGGTTTGCTGTGATAACTGGTCTCATATGTTGACTGAGGGGTGTCGAAAACGGCTGTTTGGGTTGCCTTATTACTGCCTACCTTCTCTGGTCCAAACAAATTCAGACCGTTTAGGACCTGAATTGATACTAAGAAGGAGGATGCCAGCAACATATCAGGTGTCCTTAATGTCTGATGATGTAGAAATTCATTTTATGATTTAATTTTGTAGATTTCTTACATATTGCTCCTCTGTGAGTCAGAGACGACCTAGTGGTCAAAAGTCAAGGCAATGGGGTCACCCTTAAAAATATTATGGCCATAAAATGACATCATATAGGATGAATTGATAGGTAATGACATGTTTCCTAAAAGGTCAAATGTCAACTTGAATTACAAGAACTGAATGCTCAATGCAGGATTGTGATGAAGAGAGATCCAACGTTGGTCTTGACCCCACATCATCTTGCCCACTCCTACTGTACAAACAACTGATTTTTTACGTCTAGATCTGCTTGGTATTAGTGCTGGGCACTTGTGTGGCTGTGGCTCAGTTGGTGGAGTCGGTTGTCTTTGAACCGGAAGGTTGGGGGTTCGATCCCCAGCTCTTGCAGCTACATGTCTGACGTGTCCCCTACCAAGTACATATGCTATTTATTTTAAAGATAGGATAGTCCTTTATTAGTGCCTGAACAGGGACATTTGTGTTGTTACAGCAGTAAAAGAAACTTCTGATAAACATCTATAAAAAACAAAAACAGGAGTAAGAACCGTGAAAACAAAAACCTTAGTTTTTCATTTTAAGAGAGCTGCTTTTATTTACCTTTTCTATATTGCTATTGTTCTCAATAAGCTAAAGGGATTTAATGAAAATAATTGCTGAGCACTCAATATTGCTTATTCGAATAATCAATAGAACACTTGATTATGAAAATAATTGATTACTGCTGCCCTACAATGATGTCATCAGTTGTTACTGTTGTCAGAAAAACAGTTTTTTTTTTTCTTGGCAGTTAACAACATACAAACAATGCAGCCTCTTTATGAATTTCTTCTCTGTCTGAAGAGCAGCAGAAGGGGTTCCAGGCTTTTACAGAAACATATTTGAGTTTAGATTTTTGAAAACAATCAAAGAAAGTGGAAGCAGCATTCCTGTAGGATACATTCCTGCTGAGAGAGGCACTCGTTAACCGCTCATGTTGAGCCGGAGTAGGACAGAAAAATCAGCCAAAGACGGGATCTGGGATGTGCAATCAGTCGGTCACACAGTCTGAAAAGAAACCGAAATACAGATTGCGTTGAAAGAATTTTGTGTTTGACATGCATTCATTATGCACAGTTAACACATTTTTAGATTGATATGTTGAGTTTATTATTTTCTATATACTGATTGAGCGGTTATGGATAGTAAGGGCTGCCCTGACTAGACATTTAACAAGTTTATACAGGTTTATATTCATTTAAAGATCTAAGTGTTAAGTCATTGTCCGATATATAAAGTAATTAAAACTACAGTGAGGACCTTTATTTTGTGATGCTCTTGGCACTTCCTGAAGTTTCTCTTTAGTGATCTGCTCCTTTACATGTATTAGTATTAATTTAACAAACAGTAAGCTCTAGATCTGCTCATTTTGTGAAGTGCCGTGAGATAACTTTTGTAATGATTTGGCACTGTACAAATAAAGATTGAGATTGATTTCTGATTCTGATTTAAAAATAAATATCTTGTTCCTTTAAACAGTCAGTCATATGACTTACTGTGAATATCTTCAGTGGGAATTTAGATTGTAAATCAGCTGAAAACAGCTTTGTGTGACAGAAATTGGTGACTGCAGTGACAGACATTACAAATAACTGAGTAGACTTAATATATTTTCTTTCTGTTAGTCTTGTTAAGAGGAATATAGGTAAATGAATGCATTGTCATTTCAGTTGATTGAACCATTCATTTTTACAATCTCTCACAGAGACAGTCTAGCAGCATGTTAACAACAAGGCTAAGTCTCTGTTCATGGAGATTACATAAAAAAACATCCTTTTAGTGAGCAGATCAACACACTTCAGGAACAGCGTACTGTACACGGACTGAAGAGGATACGTGCACAAACAGAAGGAGAAGTCATGTGTGGACAGGAATTGGATTTTAAGCCAAGCATGACTACAATAACCAAGGGTTAATGAGATTTGAGGCAGTCTGTGTAAAATGTCAATTTAGTCTCATTCATGCAGAAACACTTCTCTCTGTGGATTTCACTGAACAAAACATGACTTTGAATTTTGTTGGAAAACTATTGACTCAAAAATGAAAGGAGAGTGACTTCAATAAGTCCACTAGAAACATCTTCCTTTGTATCTTTCTAATACTATTCAGCCGTAAATGATTCTTACTATTGTCTCAACATTGATCTGAATTATTCAGAAGACCCACAGCGTGTGTGTGTTCTAATAGCCTTTGATGGTAAGGTCAAAACCTTTTCACCTTTCCCTCTTTCATTTCTGTTCCCCAGGCACAGAGAAGGTTCGCCAGGCTCAAGGCTGCAAGCACCTCCATGTTGTAAATCCTGACTGGCTGTGGAGCTGCCTGGAGCGCTGGGAGAGGGTAGAGGAGCAGTTGTACCCACTAAAAGAGGACTATTCCAAAACACCAAGGTAAATCCGCTGTTTCATGAGATGTTGTCTGAAAGCCACCCAAGTCGTTACCATGAACAATAATTCATCAGAATCTTTTATCAAGGAACCAGTAACTCCAAATTTGATATCTTCTCTTTTGTCTGTTGTAGGAGCAATAGTCCAGCAGCGTTTTCTGACAATCTGGGCTTTCTGCAGAAGCCTTTTTTCCAACCCTCAGCCATTCAACACAGACCCCCAGTTCCAGCCCCTGAGGTCCGAACCTATGACCCTGTCACTGGGAAGCTGATCCGCAGGGGCCCTCAGGTGTCACGGCTACCACCCTACCTCCAGACGTCAGGGTCTATGCTGCTGTCTGATCAAAGAGAGCAGACTTGTCTCAGGTGAGAACAAAATAAAAGCAGCTCAATATAGTGCTCAAAATGAATGCACTGATATAAAGCCATATTCTGTGTTTTTTTCTTTTAGAGTTTGGACAAAGAGAAATTGGCTTGAGATACTGAAAATGTAAATGTGTTAATGAAGGTGAAAAAAGCACACACAAAAATCTGAATGAAATATAAAACTTCAAAACGATTTAAAATCGTTCAAAAAAAAGCTCATGCTGTCAGGAGCATTTCTCTGCTCTGCACATAACCATGGCACACGTGACAATCATCATATGGCAATTGTGCAGCCCTATGTTTCAGTCGTCTCGAGTCGGAATCAAAGGCTTCTACATCTGAAAGTGTTAATTTCACTGGATGGTGAGTTATGAATAGTTAGCTTTCTATTGTCAAGTCAGCAGTTAGTGCACATATGTAACAGTAGCGTAGGTCACCGTTTTTGTTGAGAAAGCTATAAATGCAGTGCTAAAAAAAAAAATCATCTGCTCACTGTATAAAATTCAGAATGCAAAAATTGGCTCCCAAGGTCAACACCCACAGACATCAGCAATCAGCTAATGCCATGCATGTGGCTACCCTGTCAATTTTGCTATGATTGGTTCTGGTTCCTGAAATTAAGTGTGTAATTATCTGAGAAAATAATCACAAAGCATAACCACCTAAAAGGATAACCTCCGATGTTGAAAAAAATGAAGCCAATGAGGAAATGGAAAAAGCCACAGATCCTCGAGTGTCCACATGAGGCTGGTTGCAAAAGCCAAGGAATCCCCATTAGGTCCCTTATTAAAAGACTATTTTAATAGCAGAAATAAACATGATTACAGACAACAAATGTTGCATCAATATCTTATTTCTTCATTTGCACACATTGCACAAGGAGTGAAAATGTGCTCATCCCTTTGGATCTCATTAAGCAGAGTTATTCACAAGTTTGCATTGACTGACTTGATTTGACTTGCTGCAGTTTGAGAGTAGGCTGAAAGCCAGCTTGAGCTTTACCTCTTTGTCGTTTCAAATCTGCATATCGCCTTCGTTGAACTTCATAACTACAATACCTAAGGGTGTTAATAACAGCTCTGTTTAGTAAGGGCTCTTCTTGGCTTCAAACAAGGGCCCGATATGGGATTTTTGGGGCCGATACTGATATATGATCAAACACTTGTTGAAAAGAAATGTAATGACGACAAGATGGTCACTCAACTGGAGAGTAACTGAGCATGTACATGCATCACTGCTTGACACCCTGGAGAGTGATAATGCTTGTTGTAATCCATAAAGCACACTCTGCTGGTGAAAGAGAACTGCTAATGTAATCCAAAGATTCTCAAATGAAATGCTTTTTGACTGCTGAATAAATCTAGTAACATTGGCTCATATCTGGGATAAAATGAGCCGATACTGATAGTCACTGGATTAAGGTTATATCAGCCAATATTATCAACTGGCAGATTAATCGGTCGGACTCTACTTCAAACATGTGCAGCGGACCCAATGATAAAATTTTAATTAATGCTAATGTTACTTTGTTTATGCACAAATTGATAAAAGGGGACCTTTTTCACTTTTCATCATTGCTATGATGGTTCCCTGAACACACAGGTCAATTCAGTGTGGTGCGGAAATGTGAAATTACAAATTCACATCATGACATTTAGTACCTAGATTGATAAGCTATAGACATGTAAATAAGCTTTTGTAAAGAGCAACAGTTGCTCTAATCTTTTTTTTTTTCAATGTAGTATCACTCCCCACAGATTTTAAATGTATTGATTTCCCCCCCAGGACTCGTTTCCATCCCTCTGTTCTCTGTAAGCCACAACAGATGTTGGTGCAGTGCTACACTACATTCAGTTTACAAGAATTACCCTCAATAGAGACATGCCGAGTGCTCAGCTATCAACTGAAGCACCATAAACCCCAACAACAGACCTTTTATTGTGCTGGTTGTTTGCAGTATTTGGTGGCAGGGGATACCTGTCAACCACAGAATGTGTGGCTTAGCTCCAGCTACATGTTATGTCTTAAAAAGGATCAATCAAAATTCAATTCCACTTTGGTACCACTAGGCAAAATAGTCTCTTAGTGTAAAGTGGAAACATTTCAAAAAGTTTTTTTTTACTCGTCCAGACATACAAATATTTTATTTTCAGTCTAGTGCTCATTTATTTTTCCACCTACAGTTTGACTGGAAGGATTTGGCAGGTAGAGGAAAGCTTCACAGCTCTTCAAGTCACCTCGGTGATCTTCGACTCCATTTGTCATTCATCCATCAGTTACGGATGCTAATGAGGAGTTTGTACTCTATAAATCTGTGTGTGTGTGTGTGTTTGTGTTTGTGTCCTCTCTATGTGTATGTCTGCCATTCGGGTGAAAGCGAGAGGCTGACTTCTCCACATAATTTAAGAGCAGTGAAATATCCTTACCATCTTTTTACAAGCTTGTCACTGCGGCTTGAATCTTGTTAAGCGAACAAGTAGATGACGATACTGAAATTATTAATCACAAGCATGACAGTGTCCAACATAAATCATGGATGAAAGGCAGTGTGGTGTTTTAAGGGAGTTGTATTAACGTGAATGTTATCATCAAAGGAGATCTGTTAAATTAAGCACTGCCAACAGGAAGTACGAGAACTTCCTCTTCCCAATTAAATTTTAACATCAAATATATTTTTTAATTATTATTATTATTATAAGGAGGAAGATTATGCACATTAAGCTGTTGTTTTCCAGCCACAGACATATTTAATTATCCTACAATATTTTTATAGACAGAAAAAAATTAAAATGTTGACTGCATCCCAATTGCACTGTATGTCTTGAACTTGCTTTAATAAAAACATGTTGAAAAGAAAAAATATATATTTTTTTATAGACATGAAAAAAGACAGATACGATAGCAGAAGACAGGTTTCTCTATATTTTTTAATCAACTTCATTGATAATATGACTGCTTCAGTGGCACAACATGCAGACAATACACATGATAGAATAGATAGTAGGGATGTCCTGAAAAAGGAGTGAGTAACATTAACAAAACCCCAGTCCAGTATTTCCAACGTTTGAGTACAATAAAGTAATTCAAAAGAATCCAGTGTGTGTCTTTGACAGTTGAATGCCTCTGCACTGCATTAAGAAAACAAATTGGATCAAGAAAAGTGTTGTGTTTTTTAATTTTTCTTTTGCTTTTTGCTCTGGTATCTTCTTGATTTTCCTGCTGTCTCAGAAGAAAACAGCTACTTGTTTTTTTTGTGTTTATTTCGGTCTTTGTTTTTGTTGATGGAGGAGAAGAGAGTGGGGATCATGTGCACCAACGGGCTGTGGCCAGGAGTCGAATCTGCAGCCAATGCATTAGGGGCTTTGCCTCTGGTCTACAGACTAAGATAAACTGAATATATGACAGGCTTTGCTCTGCCTATGTTAGAAAAACTCTGCACCATGCATGACAGCATGGCACCGAGGCTGTAGTCCTCCAGGAGGCCCAGGTTCGAATCCGACCTCTGGCTCCTTTCCTGTATGTAATAAGGTTTTCTAATCTAATTCCCCACTCTCTCTCTCTCTCTCTCTCTCTCTCTCTCTCTCTCTCTCTCTCTCTCTCTCTCTCTCTCTCTCTCTCTCTCTCTCTCTCTGCCGAATTCCTGACTCTATCCACTGTCCTGTCTCTGAAATAAAGGCATAAAAATGGGAGTTGAATCTTCTGGATAGAAACCGAAGATTCCACTCCATCATTATAGTTAACATTTTAACCTATCATATATATTCATGTTTATGTCTGTTTATGTATGTTTATCTTTCTGTCTGGCTGGTAAAATAAGTTTACATTCTTTGTGTTTTTGTGCCATCAATCAGGGGAACTTCACAGAGTCAGCAAGATGACGCGGCAGGACCCAGCCAAGACAACGAGCAGCCAGGACCATCTCGTCGGAAACGGCAGCCGAGCATGTCAGAAACGAATCCTCTGTACACTCTTTGCAAGGAGGACCTAGAGAGCATGGACAAAGAGGTAGGAAAGGGGGGGAATTATTGACTATATGACATACTGTTTTGTGTCAATATTAAATGTAACAGAATAGGAATTAAATGTCTAAAGAGCTCTGAAAAGTGTATCTGCTTTAAGAGAGGAAAATACACAAGACTGTAAAGTGACCATATCATTCAAATACTCTGGTCTCAGCAGCGACTGGTTATTTTTTCCCCAGTTAGGTTTATCCTCCAAAGCATATCCATCTGTCGGGCCAGTGTCCAACAATCAAAGAAATGTTTTCAGTGTTATCTGTTGACTGTATCTTAATATGGACAGTGCGTCTCCAGCTCCTTCCATTGTACAAAAGTGAAGCAAAAATACCTTGCAATAGGCGCTGACATATTGCGCTGGTTTTGCAATTTGGAATTAAAACGTGCAGAAGGAAGCTGGCTGGTACAACCGCAGAATTTAGGCAACCCCCCTTCCACTGACTGAAACATACATTTAATTTACGGATAATCCGCCAACGATCCCTCCGGTCAGTGTAGTCCACTGCAGAACACATTTTTTGTGTTAGTTAGGAGCACTCACAGCTATGGAAAGTTCATAGACTGCATTGTTGTTTTTTGTTGAGTTTTTTTGTTGTTGTTCTCCGTCAGTTTGGTTAAGAACGCTACAAGAAGCCGCATTTGTCAACAATAACACATTTTTTTAAAAATGTTCAGAAAAGGAACACTTGGAAAAAAATCACTCTGATAACTTTGTAGGTTAGACAAAAATGTATTTGACGTATGTTGTAACTTCATAGTTTTACCCATGTCTTATCTGTTACCATGGAGGGGGCAGGGTAAAGATCTATACTGCAGCCAGTCAGCAGGGGGAGCTCTAAATGTTTTGGCTTTACTCCTAGGCGACTTTTGTTCCATCCATCTTTTTTATACGGTCTAAAGTATCATCACAAACATTTTCTAAAGACTTACTTCCTTTGTTGTTGTGTGTTCCCTTTTACTCCTACCGAGTAATGATGTGATAGGAGCTTTCAGATTTTCTCTCTCTTACTTTGCTTAACTGTCTGCAATGGCGCAGTCATTATCATGGTCGGTGTTTTCTTCTGACTACACAGTGAAAGTGTGAAACTTTTACCAGAAAACAACTGACAGCCTTTTGTTTGTAAGCAATTGCATGTTGCATTGATCAAGGTTAGCTACAGTCCCTCTCTGTTATACCACTTGCTGTGGTTCCTCCATTCAGGTTTTGTTGCTTTTTGGTAATTTTTCAGGATGACTTGTCGATAGCACTTTGGGAATTAGGGCTGACCCCATATAGTTGAGTACTTGGCGATTTGTTTTCACAGCCTCAGTCGACTGCCATTCTCATAGTTGAGCACATGGATTATTCCATTCCAGTTATATGGTGGCGTTTAATGTCTAATTTTACATAGATTTGCCTGTTTTCTTCAAATAAGTCATGGCCTAAATATAATAGTATAAATATCACCTTATTAATACTTTCAATACAGTTCTGAAAACTCGTACTTTGAATCGATCTCTTTATGTGTGCAAGAAGAAAGCAACCTGAAGTATTGATAGAAGCAGCATATCCACGTTTCAAGAATCTCATTGGCTACAAGAGATTTCAGTCATGGGGACAGTGGCGTGTAATTGGCCTTCAGGACAGGGGGAGGCACCTCCTTTCGACAAAGGCACTCACTGGCTGTTAAAGGCTGTAATGAGTTGTCATCAAAAGGCAAGACTGTATGTCTGCAGCCAGGCTGCTCTCGTCTGTGTGCTCTCGTCTGTGTGCTCTCACCTGGATGCATGAAGCCGAGCCCACTGAGCTTCTAATTTTCAACATATAGCTCCGGAAATAAAAATATCTGTAGTGTACATGTGATATATTACAAACATACTAGGTGCTTATACATTCAAGACTAAATAAAAAATAAGCAATTTCGCCATTCTATATGTATATGTGCATTTTTAGTAATATATAAACACACAGCTCAATCAGCAGCGTCGGTTCAGCTGTTGAAAAGAAACGGCGCTCTTACTCTCCCCTCTGCGTGACTCGTTTGAACGTCTTTTCATTCATACATTCATTTGGGCTTCTTGTAAACTGGACCGTCTGCTTCACCGTCTTCTACACTCTTGTCTTCTTTCCGCGCGGTGGTAATGTTTGAATTAATCATAGACTGTAAATAATCATTTATAAGTGCGAGTTCGTGAACTGCTTCTTGGCCCAGCGCACTTGCCGTTGTAAATTTCTGGAGGAGCGGGGCGCCAGAGCACATGAGACGAGAGCACGTAGACGAGAGAGCGCCAGGATGAAGCCGTACCCGACTCTCAAAAGGTCAGCGGAATAGGGGACTTTTTTTTTTAATAGTTTGTGGATAGTAATGGATCTAGTGTGTTTGTATTTCACTGAATTTAAATCATGGGGACTCATTTTTGGTAGAACATTAGGATCAGTAGAGTTCAGTAAATGTTTAATGATGGTCTGATCTGCACAAACTGGGCCGTCAGTGTGAGTGTATACCGTATTGGACATGTGTTATATGGTTATAAGGTCACATTACTGCAGATGTAATGAGTGAGAAAAACATTGCCCTGTCATAGAATTACTTGTTTTTCAACATTAAATTAGAAGAAATATAGTTTGATAATGTGATTAAACTCAAATGAGAATATGGATCAATGAGCAAAAAAAAACAACAATGAAACTTTCCACTATAAGCAAAATCATTTGAATCAGGTTCAGTGTTAATCCCTAGTGGGGAACTGGCATATTAGGATTATTTATTAGACAAATGTGTATTTATATCTATAGACAGCAGTGAAACATTCAGAGCAACACATCACTTAGTGTTACTTATTTCTCACTTGTTCTCACTTTCCCTCCATTCTGATTTTTCCTTTCCTCACATAATACATTCATTTTCTGCATTTTCTTTTTTTTCCCTCTATCCTGGTGAGGCGGGGGAAGTGCTTATAATGTCTAGGAGCCTTGCACCCCCTGCTTGGATAATACTCTTTAATGAAGCCTGAGTTCTGCTAATCTTAATCGAGAAAAAATGTGCTGGACAGGTCTTTGAGAGTTGTCAAGGGCCTCTCAGCAGGTTGTTATACTTAAGAAGGAGCCCTGTCGCCTGTTCACATGGGATGTAACATGTGACAAGCCATGTTTTGAGTGAAATCACATGTAGCTAGTGGTTAGGGTTTATTCTCTTTCACATACAATGAGAATATCTCGTTGGAAAGCAGCATCGTTTACCCAGGGATTTAGTACCTGCATTTGAATCCTGACAGCAACAATTACGAGGTTGTTTTCATTTAGAACAATGTTATCAAGGACAGCAGATTGTGAAATTGTCATTTCTAACTGCAATTAGGTCAATGTGGTGTCGACAACTAGACTGCCAAGGAAGACGAAAAGTGAAAGGAGAAAAACAAGTGAAAAGTTTTCCCATGAGAGCATCTGTGTTTTTTTCACTGCCGGCTACATGTAGAATTGGGAAGGAACGTCAGTGTCCTGTCTACCAATAAACACTGATTTTGGGCGACTGTGGCTCAGTTGGTAGATTCGGTTGTTTCTGAAACTGCTCCTGCAGCCACATGTCCGATGACTCCTTGGGCAAGGCGCTTAACACCAAGTTGCTCTCGCTGCTTCGGCAGCGTATGGATGTGTATGAAATCTATGAATGGGATTAGTTACTTCTGATGGTACTTCACATAGCAGCCTCTCCCATCAGTGTGGTGGTGGGTAGGTGGGACATGAGGTGTAAAAGTGCTTTGAGTAGTCAGAAGACTAGAAAAGCGCTATACAAGCTCATGTCCATTTACCATTTCACCAAATATTATTGTCCTAAAATTAAAATATACCGCACGAATCTCCAAACATGCGTTCGACCTGCAGAGGAATTGTTATATAAGACAGCTGTCCCTGTTTGTCTGTTTGCAAACCGACTCCAGACAGCAGTGGATTTCTACTTCATTGTTAAAACTAAAATTCATGCAGAGCAACAACAGACTTCTTCATCGATGTCCGGGTGTGTTTGTGTCCAAACTGCTGTCCATATGCAAATGTTCTATGTTCTATGTTTGTCTCTCCCTGGTACTGTCAAAGTAAAAAAAAAAAGTTGGTTATTTATTTCATACTCAGTGACTTCTCGCCTTGGTCACAGCGTGTTGACATGTAATTAACAAGCTCCAACCAGCTGAAGTATATATATCAGAATCTGGATTACTTTTTTAATCCTGGGGGTAATGATGCATTCATATTGATAATGAACAGATAAAACAGCTTATTCCCCAAATATCTGTCACAGAGGCAGAGAGGGAAGAGAAGGTAACATTTCATAATCATACAGTCAGGATTTGGTCATCAGGTCGTGGAAACTGTTTCAGGTCATGGAAATTTTAAAAAACTGTTTTCCAGGACTGGGGAACATTTTGAAAAGGATTAATTCATCAAATAAATGTTTCTAAGTGCAATAAAAATATAGAAAATGAGTCCCCCAATCATGTTAAAATCCAAATTCAATTCATAAGTCTGTAAGGGTAGCGTAAAGCTGAGGCAAAGAATGAACTCCACTCTGTCTGGAGAAGACTCAGACCTGGATCCCTGAGATATTTGAAAATGTTTTGCATTATTTTTTTAACTAGTATTGGAGATGTTGAAATCAACATATAAAGCTACTTTTATATGTAAAAGTGGGCGTGGGCGTTTTTTCCACCAAGGAGTGTTTTGTTTTTTTGTTTTTTTGCAAAACAAATGTTTGCAAAGAACCCCTAGTTTGACCCCTCACAAGCCACCATAGGCAGAGGTTAACATTTTCAATTTTTCACCACTAAGGTTCCAGGTACCACAACTTTTTAGCAGCTCTCACAGATTTCCCTACAGATGTTGAATTTCATTTCAAATCTTTAAATTTGTGTAATGAGACACCTTTATGAACACATTTGTGAAGAAATGTATTGGTAAGGAATTTATTCCCAGATTGGCCAAATATCTGATCAAACTCCCTCACTAATGGGGAAGAT